AAAAATAAATCTATGATTTGGGAAAAGACAAAACAACTATTGAATAATCATTGTATGAGAATCTCACCTATGAGCACAGGTTGTTCCACAATAAAAGCTTGGCATGGAAGATTTGATTCTCAGAAAGTTATTTTTATTTATTAGATTATAATCCATCATCCTCAAATACGTATCAGCCAATTTCAGTTTTACAACATCTGCCTTTTGAGTAAGATTCAGCTGAAAATATGTGATTAGCCTAGAGTTAAACCAGTAACCTTCTGTCACTGAAGATGAATTTGAATCTGGGACTCCATCTATACACTAGCTTTTCATTTGATCCCATTAAATTAGAGCTAATATAGAATGAATTAGGAGACAAAAATGGTTCCTCATATGTTAGCAATTCAATCTCGCAATGGGAAATCTGCTTCACAAATTCTGCTAAACCACTGTTTGCTTAATCATGGTTAAATAAAAATTGCTTGCACGGGGTTAGGTAGGACATTAAAGTACACTATAGTTTATAAATTAATAATGCCTCATTTACACATCATGTTAAGCCAAAATCAAACAAAATACATTATGGCTTATAATCACAGTTATTAAAAGTACTGTATGTAATAGGTATGTGTATATGTATGTAATACACCTGTACTTCTGGAAATAAAATATTCTATAATGTGGGGCTACCAATGAAGTTTGTCACCTAGTCCACACCCCATGGACATTTAGGAAGTGAAGGATAGTAAGTTTATGCTGCACACTTGTTTTTCCTTAAAATTAATTAATTAAATTAAGGAGAGAAATGTCCCAAGTTATTTTTTCAAAACTATTGCTGTCACTACCTACTACTCATTATATAATGCCATGGTACTGTGATAATGTATAGTTTATACCATATATTTGTGTGAATTCACATGTATGAAGATCACATTTTATAAAACAGATAATAGGATAGAAGTTCTGGGACAGTTCTCCACCATGTGGAGAACGACACCTTCAAAGAAGACATAATAAAAAGCAATTTTTATAGAAAGAGATAGCTCCACAGAATAGTTTGTTTTTATGTGAAGTTCATGAAGCAAAGGCACTCAGATGGAAAAGTGCCAAGACGAGTGAGAATGTACCAATGTGGCATTAACTTGTCAAGTCCTGATGGAAATTTAAAAAGTAGACAGGAATCGTAGCCCTTTGAGACCACTGGTCAGCTAAATTTTGACTTTAAAAAGGGATTGATGGCTACTTAAACAAAGAAAATGAACAATACGAGTTGTAAATCAGCATTTGTTTTGTATGCTTCAAGTCTCATGTTTTTAAAAAAAGCAGCTAAAGGCAACACGAAGACCCTCTTCACAATTCTCTGATAACACTTCCATTTATACCATGAGACTGGCCCTTTTTTAATTTAGTAGATACAATTGCGAGATTTATAACACTGAAGTCCCAGCTGACATTGTTACATGAATTCCACAGTTACTGGGTCCATTTGCAACCTCTTGCTGGGTTCCCCATTGACTTTTTATCAGAAGCTGGAAATGAAGGTTGAAAATGAAAATTATGTGACTGCAAGACACTGCAACATCCTAACTGTGAGCTAGCTGCCAAGCACCCGAATCACAATCATGTTACCACAGGGACACTGTGATGGCCACAGCTACAATGACCCATAATAAGTTCCCCTGGTTTAGCCCCATTGTACATTCAAACTTTGCTATATGAGTGGTCATTTATACAGAGGATAATCTGTATTCCCAAAGGAGCTAAGTAAATATATCCAAAATTTAGTACCAATCAAAAAGTATACGTAATGGTGTAATACAAGAATCAGAAAACCAAAGCCCCTGTCTTTAACTGACAACTGCATGTTTTTCAGAGATATCTTTGGAAGTGAAAAGAACCCCTAGCAATTTAATGTTGTACAGAATTTTTGAAAATGTGTTTCAGATTTGTATATGAAATTCCACAAAAACTATATGGTATCCTGGGAATTACATTCAGTTTGAAAATAATAACCCTGCCCCAAACTGTGAGGCTTTTAAAGTCTTGTATCTGTCAATATACAAAAAAACCTCTTTGTGTACCTTGTTCATATTTAATATAATTATTTGAGAAATGTCACATGAGATAAGACTACTACAGTAGCTTACCAGTTCATAAATTAAATATATTTACCAAAATATCTTTGATAGAATCGAATGGAATTGCTTTTGGCAACAATCCCAACTCAGATCAGGAGGAATTAATTGAGTGCATCACAGCTAGAATCGAAGCATAATGTTCAGAAATAAGCAGTAAAATATTATCAGCATATTAAAGGCCGATAGGAAAGATAGCAGATTCTTCCCAAACACAGCAATTTACCTATTGTGTTTTCCTTGCTGTTTAGTTTGCAAACAATTTATGGCAGCGGTGGCAAACCTATGGCATGCATGCCAGAGGCGGCACTCAGGGCCCTCTCTATGGGCACGCATGCCGTTGCCCTAGCCTCGCCTCCCCCTGCGGCCCCCTCTTCACCCGCAGGCCCCTGGAGGAGAATCGCCCCGGGCATGGCGGAGCAGCATAGCCAAGGTCAGGGCAGCCGGGCAGCAGGGACAAATTACGCCGTCGCAACCAGGGTGCAGGGTGTGGGCGGAGGGCATGGCCATGGTGCTGCTGGGCCACCTGGGTGATCTGCGGTGGGCCATGGAGGCGGTGGGTGGCCCTGCAAGTGGGGGGGGGGTGGGCTGGGGGTGGGGCAGGCAGAATGGGTGGGGGCGGTTTTTGGGCACTTGGTCTCTAAAAGGTTCGCCATTTATGGTATGTGTAAACATTTAACCTGTTTTCTGCTTTATGTATTTATTTGTATCCTGCCTTTATCATTTTTACAAATAACTCAAGGCGGTGAAACAAACACCTTCCTCCTCCTATTTTTCCCACAACAACAATCCTGTTAGGTGGGTTGGGCCCAAGAGAGAGTGACTGGTCCAAGTCACCCAGCTTGCTTTCATGGCTAAGGTGGGACTTCAGCTCACAGTGTCCCACTTTCTAGCCTGGTGCTTTAATCACTATACCAACTTGGCTCTCATATATACAAGTGGTCCTTGACTTATGACAATTGAACCCCAAATTTGTTGCTAGGCAAGAGAGCTGTTAAGTGAATTTTGCCTTATTTTGCGACCTTTCTTGCCATGGTTGTGAAGTGAATCACTGCAGTTAAGTTAATAACTTGATTGTTAAGTGAACCTGGCTTCCTCATTGATATTGTTTGTCAAAAGGTCACAAGAGGTGATCACATGACCCCCGGAACGCTGCAACCATCTGCAAATACGAGACAGTTGGCAAGCGTCCAATTTTTATCACATGACCATGGGGGTACTTCAATGGTTGTAAGTGTGAAAAATAGTCATAAATCACTTTTCCAGTGCTGTTGTAGCTTTGAACAGCCACTAAATGAATGGTTGTAAGTCAAGTACTACATGTATGGAAATTACACGGAACTTCAGCCTCTTGCTTATATTGCCAGGTGAATGCAGGGTAGAATAATTGATGAGTAAAAACAAAACCTGTGATTGTTTTCTACTGGAATCTACTGCTGGGATTTCTAGAGATCCGTTCTTGAAATTGCTCCTTGTGCACCGTTTGTTTGTATCTCAACTGCTTCCCATCTTCCAAGGAACTCAAGTTGGTGTCCTTTTAGGGAAAAGAATGAAACCCAGAGTTTTCCTGTTTTAGTATACTAGTAAACTCTCGTGGTATAAGTGAAGTCATGTTTGACAAAAGCCTCATCACCCAGGCATTGTTTGGAGACGTGGCTGAGGCTATGATTACTTTAGATGCATGTGCATCTGAACCCAAGCCAAAGTTGCTTGGGTGTGAAACGAAAATCAATTTGGTATGAGACTAAACTCAATGTTCAATAAAAGAGCTAGCTGGTGTTGCACTAAGCCACTGTTTGCTTCACCAGGCTTACTGAATAAGCCACAATGACTGGCTCCACATGCTGCTCTAATAAACCATAAACTGTGGTGGAAATCAAAACCTCAATTCACAGAACACGCTAAACTAAAATCAAACCAACTTCATTAGGTGATGCGAAAGGATAAGGAAATCATACTGGATTGTAGGAAAGAATTGGGATAACAATAACAAAATAACTTGTTCTAGAATAAATTGCTACATGAGCATAACTGAACTGGAAAGGTAACCTGAGTTGGCTGGACAACTGGAATTACAGCAATTAAGTCTGGCTTCTCCCCCCCCCCCCGAACTTTTCTGATGGAGTCTTTTCTCTCTTGGTTTTTTGTGGGGGTGGGGGTGGGGCTCTTCTGCTGGTGTTTCCTTCCCATTCTACCAATGAAAGAGAATATTTGTAGCCCAGGGTTGAAATGAAGGGTCCTTGGTGTTCTCTGAACTTGCTTGTTTTCTTGCAAACATTTCATTACCCTAACTAGGTAGCATCATCAGTGCATCAGTCCTAACACCAATGATGTTACCTAGTTCGGGAATGAAACCTTCCCATTCTCTCTAGGGGTGTACTTGAAGAGGCCTGGGCTGCAAAAGGATGCAGAAACCCCAAGCCTTAGCTGCCGTTTACCATCGGGTATTTGCAGCCCAGCTATAGAAGCTTTAATGGGGAGAAAAAAACCCTCCAAGAATTCCTTGTATGTATATGGAGGGGTAGAGAAAACAAAACACCAGCATCCAGATACATTTATGCTATAAAACACTCTGGTTAGCTAGCTTACTTGAAAAGCCTACTTTGCCTCTCACTTTGTGGTGGCTTTTGTTTTAAATTGGAGGTGCCTTTAATTAAAATGTACAGAAAAATATCCCTCACTACGGCCCTCCCTTCTTGGGATGTTTAAATAGCCTGTCAGAGGGGAAAAAATGAATCAGATTTGTCCGCTTGCTAGGAAGCGCCCCGCATCGGAATGAAAGCGAGGCGCGCGTCTTCTGACTGCTAAGGGAATCCCGAGCAGCAACTGCCGGGGAACGCGGTGCGGTGTTGTCGGGCATCGACTCTGCAGTTAATCTTGCACGATTTTGCAACGGCGTGCTTCTATAAAAGACACCCTTGCAGATTATTTCCCAATTTGGGAGAACAGAAGCCCGTCGCGAATGCCTGCGTCGATTGGTCGCTTGCTATATGCCCCAAGAAATAGCGCCCCCTGTGCCTCAAGAAAACGCACACTCCTCGTTTCTGCTCTCCAAGACGGGCGCGGAAGAGCGGGAAAATGCCTTTTGGATCTGGTGGATCCGACGGGGGAATGTGGCCCCGTCCAGCCGCTCGGCCCCTGCTCTATGGAGCGGCCGCCTTCCTCGCTGCCCTCTCCGGGAGCGCCGTCCCCGCCAGCCCTCCTGCCACTTCTTCCTCCCTTCCGTAGCTCCCGAGGCTGTCCTCCCCTCTCCTTTTGCGCCGCTCTTCCCCGCCCACGCGGCTGGGAAAGACCCTAGCAGGCGGATCTCCCTCCGCCCGCAGCAGTAGCCTTCGCCAGGGCTCCGAGGGCGCTGCCGCTGCCGTCGCCACCCCTTTTCCCTCACGAGTCAACTGAAGGCGGCGGGACCCCGGCGGCGCTGCCCCTTTGGACGGCTGGCCCTCTGCGCGTGCTTGAAATTCTGGGATTCTGCACTTTGGACACCCACGCGTTAGCGGCTGCAGAGCGCGAGTCTGAGGAGGGAAGAGGCTTGGCGAGCGGTGGCCCATTCGCACGAGGTTTGGTTGCCCCCCCGGGTTCCAGGGTTGCTTTGATCTTCAGTCTCAGGAAAAATCCCCACTGTTGGAATGGCTTGTCTGGAAGCAGCACCATTCTTTGCCTTTTAGGACGCGTTTCAGTGCTGAGCTAACCTGCCAGAAAGCCATGATTTAAACGGGGTCAGAGGCTTCTTTAAGAAATGCTTGTGTGGCTGTTGACATAGGAAAAGCGGAATGCCAACTTGGATCGTGATCGGTGGCAAAAAGTATATTTAATGAAAATAGGAAACTGAATAGGTGAATCAGAAGTGCAATGCACAAGGCACAAATGCACGTCTGGGAAAAAAAAAAAAAGGCTGCGATTCCGTGCCCCTTTTGGAATTGGTGCGAGGGAACGGAGCAAATACAGCATAGGACCAGGCGGGAAGCATCCCCTATCCCTAAGAGGCACTTGGTTGAGTTGGGCGGCCATAGAAATGGAATAAATACATTGAATTAAATAAATAATCTGCTACAGGCTGAATCAAAGATTGTAAAGACAAATTGGTTGGAAATGATGGTAGCTTCGGCAACATCAGTGAGCGGAATTTAGCACTATTTTCTTATGGTTGCACATCGTTCTTGGAAGCAATTCCTAGGAGGGTAACAGCGGAGCCAGAGGAAGAATAAACAGACTTGGATTTAAAGCCCAGGAAAGGAAGCTGAAGAGTGGAAGTGGAAAGCTATGTGTACTTTAAGTAGAATTTAGGCATTGGTGGATGCATTTACCATGATTAATATTTTGGTTTTGCACAGCTGGTACACAAAGGTCTGAGTATTTATTGAGCTTCTGTATGGATTTGACAGGGCAAAAGATTTAGCTCTCTTGAAACAGTCAGCTTTTAAATTCAGAACCAACCCTGCATTTCCTTTTTGGAAAACTGACACTAATTTTATCCAGATTGCCTCTTCGAGCTGTGTTTGTTGGAATCACAAAAGTCTTTTTTACTAAGGTTACTTATTTGATTTTCAGCTTCACACACCTTGTTTAAATAAATGAAAAGAAGGCAGCAGAAATGTAGAAAGGGAGGGACCCTAAAAAGTGATTACATTTAATAAAAACAGCCAAAGCATTTTGATTAGTTCCTAACACAGTGTTAATTCAGACTCCATTTGAAAGTTTTTGGCTTAAAAGACCTATGGATTCTTTCACTTCTGAATACAAGTGAACATGAAGCAGAATGAAGTCATGGCTAACCCCAATTTCATACTTTTCTTGCATTTTTAAAAATATTTCTTTTATCCCACCTTTATGATGTTTATAAATAACTCAAACATACCTAATACTCTTTGCTCCTCCTATTTTCCCCACAACAGCCCTGTCAGGTGGGTTGGGCTGATCCAAAGTCACCCAGCTGGCATTCATGCCTAAGGATGGACTGAAATTCACCGTCTCCTGGTTTCTAGCCTGGCATCTTAACTCAAACTTGCATTCACACCAGACCCATCGAAGGTTCTGACTGCTGTCAAAACGGAACCTCTTTTACGTATGAAGTATTCCGTGGGGCTACCCAACTTCCACATACCTGTCTTTATTTGAGTGTGAAGGTTTTGTGCTCCTCATGGACCAAATTGGCAATATTTAGAAAGAAAAGTGATTTAGCAATATATTAAAGGTGATTGGAGATTTCAAAGGTCTTCCTATATTGCAGAGTGAAAAGGAAATAGTGTTGACAGCACTAACCCTAAGAACTCAATTAAGTCATTACCAACACAGAGGGGAGAAAACAGTTTCTTTGCCAAAAGTAATTTTCTCTTTCCTTGCAGTAATTTCAAGCTTTTATTTTTAGAGAATTTTGCTTCCCGTGGGAGCCACTGCTACTTAGGCATTGAAAAATCTTCCACTCATTAATTTCTGCCTTAACTGCAAAACTGCATATACATTGCAATGATTCACAAATGGATTTGTGAGCCATTATTTTGGAAACATACCACTTCATATTGCATTTTGGAAGTAAGTGTTCAAGAAAATGGTAAAATGACTAGACTAAGATTCTGGAGTTTGTCTCAGATTACTGGGCACTGACCCAAATACAACCTCAGATATAGATAGCTTACATTTTATGTTTTCTTTTGCAAGTAGAGTGATAGTGTGTAGTTTCATGGATCATATAATATATACTGCCAATCACTCTCTCTCAGAGCTTGGAAGGAGGCAGTTGCAAACCACTTCTGAAAAAACCTTGCCAAGAAAACTTCCGGCACTTATCCAGGCTGTTGCCAGGACTCAAAACACTGACTCTAAAAGACCAAAAAAAGAATGGCATAACATGATTGGATTGTGAAAAAAATGGGAGGGAATTTCTCCAGAAGAGAATGGTTGAGCCAAAAAGACAGCCAGCTGTATTTTAAAACCTGAGCAGTTATTATGGAAACAAAATCTTAAACGAGAGCCCCAAGAATGGGTCAATCTTGAGGCTTTTTCTAGATCAGTGGTTCTCAACCTTTGGGTCGGGACCTCATTTGGGGTCGAATGACCATTTCACGGGGGTCGCCAAACAACACAGTCCGCCATTTTTTCTCCTTTTTCCCCTTTAGCTGTGCTACTCCCTTTTATTCTATTGGCTTTTGAAAGCCAATAGAATAGACTCTCTTGAATAGAGTCTAATTCTATTGGCTTTCAAAAGCCAATAGGAATTGTCCAGGCTGTCTCTGCCCTGCTGAGCCCACCAAAAGTCCCATTCTGCAAACGGTGCTGCACCAGTTGAGTAGTCCTCGACTTACGACCGGTTGAGTAGTCCTCGACTTACGACTGGTTGGGGGTCGTGGCATTAAAAAGGTTGAGAACCACTGTTCTAGATAATCCAGTCCATTTCAGATAATAATTAAACATCTAACTGCGTTGGGTTAGAGTAGGAAATCTACATTTTAAGCATCTGAAATTCTGAGAAGATACATTGAAAGTATTCCTTGGGAAAGCTATATCTCAATCAAATCAGAAAAACAAGAGATCTTCCAAATTATAAATTATATCAGGAAGATAGATTGTAATGGCACTTTACAATCTTAGAGTAAAAGAGTAATAAGGATTAGAGTAAAGGCACATTCTGTTGACAGTGGGTTCTATCTATATGCAAAATGTTTTCAGAACTATAAACTGCTCTGGGAGATTCCCATTATTCCCATTAAATCTGGCAAACCTTTACAATGTGTTTGTTGCATGGATGATAATATAAGCCAAAGAACTAAAACAGGGGTGTCAAACTGCCGGCCCGCGAGCCGGATGCGTCATGGCAAAACCGTGCCCCCCCCATTGCCGGCAATGGAAAAAAAAGTCACGTCACATGACGTTGCAAGTTTGACACCCCTGAACTAAAGGATGAAGTCAGTCAGTGAAGTTCCTTTTAACTTATTGCATATTGCATACCTCTTTGGCCTGATCAAATATCTTACATACATTTTGAGGGTTGAATGCAGGGACTTTTCTCTTTTCCCTTCCTGGCATCTTTCTCAGGCCCTTTTACTTGGAAAATTCTGTCCATAGAACCCCACTGCCATTTGGTGATTGTTTTTCCTGGCTAGCTTATGGAGATAGGAATGAATAACAGCAGAGAAAGTATTAATGTTTCCAGTCTGTACTGATAGATGATAGTTTTTTCAAATGTAAGATAGGGGTTTTTTTTAAGGCCAATATTTAAAGTTTAGGAAGCATTTTGTAAAAAAAGCAAAATGAAATGCTGCGGGTACTCAGTTTTGCAGTTTAAAAGAAGAGACAAAAACAGCAGAGAGGGAGATATATAAATAAATATATAGGAATTTGTGGAGTCCTTGATGCTCTCTGAATTTGATTGCTTGCTTGTAGATATTTCATTACCTATCTAGGTAACATCTTCAGTGCTAATGAATATAGGGTTGCTTCTTATTTGTATGCAATAATTGCCCTATGAGTATTGGTGGGAGTGTGGTTTTCTCCATGGCAGCACTTGATTATAGGTATCTCTCTACATATGACCACAACAGGGACCAGAAAATTGGTTGTTAAGTAAGCATCATATGACTGCACCTAATTTTAGACCTTTTTTGCTGTAATTATTAAATAAACCATTGAATCATCACATAATTAAGACTTGTTACCCTCCCAATTGACTTTGCTTATCAGACGCCGGCTGAAAAGATCACAGATGGTGATCCTGTGAACATGGGATACTGCAGCCATTGTAAATGCATAACAATTGCCAAGCACCCAAATCACAATTACATGCCATGATTTTTTTCAGTGTCCTCCATAACTTCAAATTGTCACGAACGATCGTAGTTCATACCTGCTTAATGGTCTGGTATTAATCCCTTCTTATCTGAGCGTTGGCTGCTGGAGAGGATATGTTCTGGTCTTTTTTTTTCTTAGCTATTTTTTATTGGGTCTTTGGAATGGTATGTAAATGTGATTTATGTTATGTTTCTGTCAATGGCTGGTTTATCTGAATGCCAAGCTTCCAGGCATTCCATAACTGGTTTTGGATTTATCTTGGTCTAGATCAGGGGTCTTCAAACTTGGCCCTTTTATGACTTGTAGACTTCAACTCCCACACTGGCTGAGGAATTCTGGGAGTTGAAGTCCACAAGTCATAAAAGGGCCAAGTTTGAAGACCCCTGGTCTAGATGCTCACAGTTTCCTAATTGAATCTATGGTTGAATTTGGGCATGTGTTGTGAAAGTAAGGAGTTTTCTTTGTGTCTTTTGACTTCTAGTTGGTATTTGTGGATGTGTTCCGCTAATCTTCTGCCTGTCTGTCCTACATAGTGGCTGGTACAGTTGTTACACTGTATGTTGTAGCCGATTCTTATTTTTTTTTTCTTCCTGATATATTAGGTATTTTAGTTTACTTAAGATGTTTTGGAAGGCTTTATTTGGTTTGTGTGCTATGGTGATGCTTTGTAGCTGTAATGTTAATTGTTTTTTGAGATGTTTTGATGTATAGAAGTATTATATTTTTGATAGCTTGCGTTAATTGTGCTATATGGTTGGATGGTCAGCACTTTTTATCAAAACAACTACAATACAAGCAAGTGTTCGAATCACTACAGCACAATCAAACATCAAATTCAGATGTAAGGACCTTTCTTAATCTTGCTGTCAGACAGTAACTAAGAAGTACGAAGACATTCAAAACATGTGGGCTACCAAGGAGCCATGGTTGATTCACACTGTCTATCATATGAATGTAATAATATATTCAATGAACACAGTCTGAAGTACTGAAACACATTTTTAATAATGCATTAGGTGCACTTGAAATAAATGTTCTGCCCTCTAGTGGTTATTTCACAAACATATTTGAGTTTAAGATGAAAGTTAAAATGAAGAGAAACTTTATTATTAGTTTTACTGTAATTCATCACCCACTCACTCTTCAAATTGGGTCAAAACAATTAAAAATAGATGTAAACCAATATATAAAAGATACAATTAGTTATTATATAGTGTATAAAATTATAATTCGATAGCTTAAATTTAAGCAAACTGCTCAAAAATTTAGTCTTATATATAGTCTAAATAAAAATAACTTGAACTTTTCCCAAATGATGGTTAAACTTGACACAGATAAACATATTCATTGGATTTTAGTACAATTAGCACTAGTAAAGTATCTGTCTCTGAGGTAGTTTAGAAAGATCCTTTCAAATAGGACATAACTAACTAACTAAACTAACTAAAATTGTGCTTACACCACCATCAATGATCAATCCAAGCCTTATTTTTCCATCTGATCTACTACCCATCTTGTACAATAAAAGAAACCACACGCTCACAGCAGAATATAGTTAATTAAACTAACGTTTTAGGTCCTTTTAAGGACTAGACTAGAGCACATCTTGGCTGATAGGCATATTTAAAAATTGGAACTATGTTGTGACTGTCATAGAGGGATTTTGTGAGTTTAGAACAGGGATGTCAAACTGCAGGCTGGATGCGTCATCCGGAAGCCGTGCCTACCCCATTGCCGGCAATGGCAAAACCGTCCTGATCAAGTTTGACATGTCTGGTTTAGAACATGGCTGCAAAAGTAGGCCATAAGACGAACTAGTGAGGATTCTCTGCACCACTCCTCCTACCAGGGGTCTTCAAACTTGGCCCTTTTATGACTTGTGGACTTCAACTCTCAGAATTCCTCAGCCAGCGTTGCTGGCTGAGGAATTCTGGGAGTTGAAGTCCACAAATCATAAAAGGGCCAAGTTTGAAGACCTTTGTCCTAACCCTTAAGGTGTCCCCTGTCACTTTTCTCTATCCTTTTCCTTTTTTCTGGCAAATGATCTTCAGTCCCCACTATTATTATTTTCAAGGAATTTATGGGAGACCTATACTGCAGGCCATCTTGAAAACAACACTGGTGATGCTTAATGCTTAGTTTACTAAAGGAGCAAAAGGCAAGTGTCCAGAGGTGCCAATATTGCCAATATGGTGGCTTGAATTGTGGCCCAGGTGAAGAATGGTGGGGTGTCGCAGCCTCATTGTCATCTTTTGAGAACCTCCCTTGCTGTAAGCCAAGGAAGTCTCACGGTACTGTGCTATTTGCAAAAGTATATGTGGAAATGAGTCAGAAGATGAAGGAGAAGATACCTCAGGTTTTGATTTCGCTACTGGGAGAAGTGAGTGAATGAGAGACAGAGAACAGGGAAATGGTGTGCTTTTAGATGTTGTTTCTTTCGTTTTTGAGGTAAAGGAGAATACGGTGGCCAGAGGAGGAGTCAGGCCACACATTTATTCTTTGCTGTGATTAGGATAGCCTCAATCTCACTGGGGCACTGTCCTCCATTACATCAGACGCGCCTGCCGTTAATTACAAGTTACCTTCCTGAATTTGCTGCAGTAAGAAGCATATATTTAACAAACCAAAATGCAATACAAGAAGCTGGTGTGGTCCTTGTGGTTGTGTTAGGGCTAGTTTCAGAGCACTGCAACATTCAAGCTGTTTTTTTTATACAAACCATCTGAGGGAAGAGACACTGTTAATACCTCCAGGTTTAAAAAAGAATCCTCTCTTATTGAAACAACAGGTTGGAAAGGGCTAGAAATGTAATATAATTATGGGTGCTGTTGGTTTGAGCATTCATCAAAATAGAGGGAAATAACATTTCATCTGTTGCTGCTTCTGAATATACAACTCTAGCAGATCATCCCAACTTGGTGTCCACCACAGGCACTCAAAATAAAACTTCCAGAATTTTAAGAATTTATCCCTGACTAGTCAAGTCCATGCTTAATTTTGAATTGCTCAAACTACATACAGTAGTGCAATTTCTATTGATGTGTCAAATAAAACGTTTAATCCGAAATTATTTTGGGAAGGTAACTAGCTCGGGACAATGCAGAAGAGACAAATCAGCTGCATTTCCCATGTAATACAGGGCAAGTGGTTCTTCCCTCTTGTCCTTGCTCTTGGGATTTTCCCTTTTCTCCTAAAACCAAGGTCCCATCTTACTTAACTACCATTCTGCCATTTTTGTCTGCTCTAAATATGGCTCTGCCAGTGGCTGCTTTTCAAGGTAATTCAAGGATAAAAAACACAGCAGAGGATGGAAGTTGTTTTAGCATTCCATCATTGGCCAACATGGAAGTACATTGGATGACTTCAATAGAAAAATGTGAAGATACTCCAGGCAACCACAGAAAAACAATGTCTATGGAGATTCTCAGTCATACAGGTCATAGTTGTCCCAAAGATGCTTTTTCAGGATGCAACTGGACTTTCTTGTTTTTCTTTGAAGACATTTCATTTCTCATCCAAGAAGCTTCTTCAGCTCTGATTGGATGGTGGGGAATATAAATCCTTCCCTTCCCCACCAACCAGTCAGAGCTGAAGAAGCTTCTTAGTTAAGAAGCAAAACGTCTTCAAAGAAAAATAAGAAAGTCCAGTTGCCTCCTGAAAAAGCACCTTTGGGACAGAAAAACAATGTTGAGAACTGAGAAGATGTACTTGGGAGTCATGTGAAAGGGGCCTTATGTATACTTAGTTTACTAAGTATTCTGAAGGTCTGAATTCAGTTTCTGAGTCGACATGGATATTTATCAAAATATTCTTGAGAAAGGTATTTCACTTCTGGATCGATCCTGGTTTGTTCTGTCTTTAATATTGTTAAATATAACAAGTTCAGTTAGGAGATCTAATGCAAATGCTAGTGGAAAAAAAAAGATGTGTAAGTAAAGTTTTCAAAGGCATCAGCTGTGACAGTTTTAGCTCAAACTCTTAATTATTTCTAAAATATGTTAAGTTCAGTAGTTATGGATATAGAATATAAGAATGCTGTCTTGTAGAGTGGTTAAAGTCTTGGACTAAGATTGAGGAGAGATTGATTTCAATTGACAGCAAAGAAATCTTGATGAGTGATTTTGGGCCAGGCACTCTTTCTCAGCCAACCTACCTCACAGGATTGTAGCTCGGTATAGAAGATGGAGTGAGAGCCCCACACAAGAGACCTTGAAGTTCTGAAGGAAAGCAAGGATGTATTAAAAATATATTTTTTTCTAATACTACACAGTACCAGTGTAGAGCAGCATATGGTTATAAGACTAAAAAAAATATCAATAAATAAATATTTCTGGCTTTGCTAGCCACATGAATGCTGTGCTTAAATATTTGTTTAGTTAGATGCAGAATAAAATCTCAAAAAGCTAAAAATGAAAAAAAAAGTTGTTGATAGCTATTTGAATATATTACTTTTATTATATTTATTATCTTTATAGCTCAGCTCCATCCAGTCACCCTGACTCTACCCGAAATAGGGACTACCAGGTCGTAAAGTGGGAGTTTTTAATTGTCTTTATAGGGCCATATTTAATATTATTATGACACAAATTTACAAGGTTTCTAGAAGCTCTTGTAAATTTATGGTAATTAAAATAATATTTCACACTTTTTGTTTTCAAAACAGAAACAAAGCACATGATGGCCTTCGTTTTGCTCATTTTGACTCTCGCCTTCAGCCTCACAAATGGAGTAAACCTACAAGATTTTAGCTGGCAGTTAAAAAAAATACCACAGATTGTGAAGGAAAAGACTTTCTTTCTCGACACTCCTAAATTTGAAGCCAGTGCCAAATTAGAACTGAGCGGCGTATGTGGGATTGAATGCCAAAGGACACTACCAGTGCCACGTTGGTCTGATCTGAAGAAGCTGCTTTCCTATGAGACAGTCTTTGAGAATGGGACGAGGACCTTGACAGAAGTGGAGGTTCTGGGGATGGAGCCCGATGCGGTTGTAAACGGTACTAGAGAGACGCCAACAAGAAGGAAGAGACAGGTCTATGGCACAGACAGCAGATTCAGCATTTCAGACACTCGATTTCTGACCAACTTTCCTTTTAACACAGCGGTAAAAATCTCCACGGGCTGCAGTGGCATCCTTATTTCTCCAAAGCATGTACTCACTGCTGCCCATTGTGTGCACGACGGTAAAGATTACATTAAAGGCGGCAAGAAACTGAGAGTGGGGCTGTTGAAACTGAAATCCAAAGGCAGTGGCAAGAGACGCAGGGGAGCCAAGAGGAATAAGAGGGAGGTGCCGGAAGTCAAAGATGATGTGGCCGACTCCAAGCTCCAGAAGAGGGGATCTGGCCGCAGAGCTGGAAGAAAACAAAAGACATCTGTGTTGAATGAGAGGACATCAGAGCGCAAGCCCTCCTTCCAGTGGACCAGAGTTAAAAGTACTCAGATCCCCAAAGGCTGGACAACAGACGTGACAAGGGATGTTGCAGTCGATTATGACTATGCAGTTTTGGAGCTCAGGCGTCCCCACAAGAAGAAATACATGGAACTTGGCATCAGCCCGAATAGCAAGATGATTCCTGGAAATATGATCCACTTTTCTGGATATGATGCAGACCGAGCTGGCCAACTGGTTTATCGCTTTTGCAGCATATCTGATGAATCCAGTGATCTCTTCTACCAGTATTGTGATGCTGAGCCTGGCTCTACTGGTTCAGGAATCTACCTCCGCCTTAAAGAACCAATCAAGAAGAAATGGAAACGCAAAATTATTGCCATTTATTCTGGCCACCAGTGGGTGGACGTTAATGGAGAACAACAGGATTACAATGTTGCAGTTCGAATTACACCCCTCAAATATGCTCAGATTTGCCTCTGGTTAGGGAACAATGACACTTGTGCACAGGGCTAACAATAATAATTATCTAATATGTGTTGGGCAATGGAAGTCATACATTGAATTTGAACTTGACATCAAAAATTATATATTTTTTGTATTGATTCAGCATTTATGAGAATTTTTCTGCTAGGTTAATTAAGTTAACCATAAACATGAAGTGCACTTAAATCCCAGGTTGTGTGTGTATGTATGTATATGTCTCTGTGTGTACACACGAACACACACCTATATAGGTAAGTTTAAATCATTCATACTAAAGAACCAATATTCTTGGCTCTTTCAGTTTGTTACTCAGTTAACACTTTAAAGAAAAGATTCTTCTCTGGTAACTGGTATTATTAAAACATTTATTATTTTATTTCCAACATATTAACTTATCTCAGGGTTCTGCTCAAATAAGCATCATGTATTCATTATTGAAACATAGAGTAAGACAAGAGACAGGAAAAAAATGATCTTCACACTTTGGTGGTCCTACCAAATTAATGTTGGTATTTCTAAAATTTGGGAAACCCATTTTCTTGAATTCTAAACCAATAAAATGAAGCTTAATCAAAGTAGCATGTTCCCAATTTGAAGAAACGAGAAGGAACCATATTATTTAAATACCTTTAAATCATATTTAGAAAATGAACAAAACTGGGAGTATTAAAATTTATTTGTTTTATTCAGTCACTACATTGAACAAATCCCTGCTTTTTTATTAAGGTGCAATAATGACATTTATGTATTCTAATTTTTAAAATTATAAAAAGCTAAATGTATCATTCTATCAGAAATAGGAGATAACAGCAGCCCAAGAAGCCATATACAGTATATGCTCCTAATGGTAAGGGTAGCTTGAGAAGAAAATAACTCTGTAGCCTCAAATGTAAACAGATGTAATTGTCACATATATTGAACTGTAAATAAACGTTTCACCATAAAAGTAACCTGAGATGCAGAAGTTGTACCGTTTCCCAACCTCAACAACTTGGGGATGTGAATACTTCAATTCCTAAAATTCTTAGCAGTGGTTATGCTGACTAAAGATTTCTAGGAGTTGAAATCCACAGACCTTAAAAGCTGTTGAGATTGGAAAAACTTGTATTAAGATTTATCAGTGAATCTTTCTTTGAATAATAGGCCACATTGTGGAAACAGTTCTTCAGATTTCCACCACAACTATCAAAGCAAATAATTATTTGTTAATTAATCATGATCTAATGTTTACAGAATTTGTAGGTTAACATTTATGTAAATATATTACTGATTTCTTATGTAGCAAGAATTCTTATGGGTTCTTTTACTAGAAAAGGATTTAAAGTAGGCTTGTTATTTAAAATGTACACATTTCAGTAGCTTTTCAAAATAATCTCTCTGGTGCTTTCTGCTTCAAAGATTGTCATGTATCTGAAAGCCATGTGGGGAAAACAAAATCATTGGAACTCTATTTAATATGTAAGGTTAAGGTGAAATATTCCTGGCCATGTGTAATCTTGGTTTTATTAATATTACAATAATTTCATTTTAACTTGAATTGATCAACATTTTTGTAAAAAAATGTGTAATAAGAAACAAAGTTTTAAAATATATGTATAAATATGAAAATCACAAAATTCTTAAAAGCACTTCAGTTTGAATAAAATATTCTTAAAAAATTTTTGTTATAACTTTTGAAAAAGTATCAAATGTAGAACTGACATGCAAATACATTTTTATTATTATTTCTCTGAATTGTGCATTTGAAAATATTCCATATCAAATTAATTTTAATCTATAGGCCTTATTCAGAAATATTCTTATTTCAAATTATTTTTATGGAATATAATACCTATAATATTATAACATCCATGAGAAAATAAACATATAGAAGGCATTTGTACATCATGATCTTTTCAAAAGACTTCAGGATATAAAACATACTAAAGGTTTGCAAGATTAATTTAAAAACAAAACCTAAACTTTATTTATCTAGAAAATGTGTTCTAGTTGCTGTTATATTCAATAAAATATTAAAGTACAATTCACAGGTAATGGATATTCCAATTCAATAATATCACAATAATTTGAATAGAATAGAGCTGGAAGGGACCTTGGAGGCCTTTTAGTCCAGCTCAAGCAGGAGAACCTATACCATCTCAGACAAGTGAATATCACAATAATATCCTGCCATTGGCTTAAAAGTATTCCCAAGCAATCATAGGACATTCCTTTTCAAAGACCTGAGTTCTATGTAGGAAAGTATGAATTGGTATCAATTACTGAAATACAGTGTGAAAGTAAGAAAGTGACATTTGCATGCTATACTGATTGCCGGATTGAAGAATTGCTGAATTGAAGAATCAGAGATGAATTTGGGGGAAAATTATGTAATATTTTGAATAGATGGGAACCAGAAGAAGAAAAATCCTTCTAGGTATCCTAAGTGAATGGGAATAAAGGAAAAATGAAAGACCATTGAGAGATCCAAGAATGGGTTACTGTTTATACAAGATCTCTTTGTTTAATATGGGATTTAAGCAGAAGTCAGCTCATATATATATCTGGTATACTTTGGATAGAATCCAACTTCCACCCCACCCTCACCCCAAAGTTGGGTGGCTCAACCCTCAAATTTTTGAAAGGTATACAAGTCCTAGTTGCTTTCTACACCCTGTCACAGTATGAGGAAAAGACCTTGGGAGATGGAGTGAAGAGATGTTGCCTAGGGAACAATCAGATAAGAGGCAGCATAGCCCACAGTTGTACAGAGGGGGGAGCAAGAGGCTCAGAAGGCAACTTCCCTTGGACTATAAAGGTGAGAAGGAGCAGGGAAGAAATGTTTAACAGGCTGATTTATACTGAAATAGCCATATTATTATGAAACAGCACAATAATCCGTGAGGAATGCAGTGCTTCTAAAGAGTACAGATTGGAAGTGCAGCCGGCTGATCTTGCGATATCCTTACCCCCTATTGAGTGTATTCATTTTTCATAGTTTCCTGGCCTAAAGATGATGCTAGCACTGACTTTGGACTCAGAGTTTTGAAAGATCAGTAATTTGAAAGGTAGCTGCTCTGGCTGTTGGAAGCCCGTTTGTCTGTTATCATTTTAATTCATTTTCACATCTCTGTGAGGAGCTAAGAGAAAAAACGTTTTTAAAATGCATTCAAACATTCACTCCTGCCATCCAGAGTGCCTATGGCATTATTTTTCCACCTGATTTACTCCCCATCTTGTACAATAAAAGAAACCACACACTCAGAGCAGACTATTGTCCTGATCAGATACTCCAAGAATTTTTTTTTTAAAAAAAAGTTCCATAGCATGAAAAAGTTTTAAAATCTCAGTTTTAGACAATCTGTTCTGTAGAGAACATGTATCACTTCTGCAAATTCACTGAGCAGTGAATTGTATCTCCTGCTGCCAGTGAAAGCCACCAAGATACAGGAATATCCTAGACAAATGTTAAAATTGGATGTTTACCAGTGACAAAAAAAGACTGCATTTTCAATTGAAGAACTGCTGCCCCCAAAAGGAAATGACAAGTTCCATAAATATTCCACAAATACGGGTTGAGAAGATGACATTACAGAACCTTTCCTACATCAAGAGTAACATACTGATGAGAGGGATTAAAAAAAACCCATAAAAAATACCATATACAAGACTGTACATTTTTCAGGCAGGGCACTCATTCCAACAAGGTTACTAAAGTGTAGATCATTGTTGCCACTTCAAACTAATCCAGCTTCCCATTTTATCAAATCCTATAATTAAAACAAGGGCAAGGCCAGGTGAAAAGTTCTCCATCTAAATCATTTGAGCTCCAAAAGTGAGTTTGTGAGTAGCTTTGAGTATGCTTTTCCTTATCTTTACCATAGTTGTTATGTGGTGATTGCAGTTAAACTCCCTTGTGGATACAATTTTAAACCCACCCACTGAAAGAATGAGAGACATATTCAGACAATGATCATTTCCTATACATTATACAGTATAAAGCCTTTTCATTAATGATGCATTGTCATAGTGTTTGGCTGGATGTCATAGTGTTATTTATAAAATGTTATAATTCTCTACAATTAAAATGGTCATTATTGCCAGTATCTTTTGATCAGATCAAAACTGAAATAAAATTATAGGAAATGCATTAAAATAATATTTAAATATTTCAAATTTCAATTACGTTCATTTTCTGTTTAAAGAAAAGACATTTTAAACATATTCACACAGTACAATTTAAAGGCCACATGTAGAGTCTTTTTTTCAATCCATGTTATGTACACATATACATAAGCATATATTACAGGAGTTATTTTTTAAAAAGCACTTGGAGGACAATCAGTTAACTTTCTGCTTGTTGTACCATTCCTAAGAACTCACAAAAGAATGGCTAGTTGTGTACATTTAGATAATGGAAGATTTTACAGAACTATATTTTCCATCTTAGTTTGTTACAAATATGAAACTCAGTACAGTACTGACTACATAGATATTCAATAGGCAAGCTTTTCTCCCTAGCTTTACATAAATGTTAGAAAGTTGGATGAATTGCATGCTAAAAGTACTGGATTATTTCCTGGACACTAATTTCAATCTGGAGTCATTTTTCAGCAATTAAAGAAATCACTGGGATGAGAAAATAAAGAGGTTCTAGAAATAGCATATGACTGTAGCAAAGTGTGTTCTGAAGCATTTGGGACAGTTATTCTGAGGTTAGTAGCTATAAATCTGATCTGTGCGGAAATTAACAAAACTATAAATAAAAGATAAATGCAATATAAAATAACAGCAAAAACACAAATATGTCTCTGTTTAATTTTTATTTTTTATACTTAATAGTTTCTCAGCAAGAATCGTTTTTGTTTGGAAAACTGAATTCTTATAAATATATATGTGACAGCGAAATTCCAAACTCTCTTGATTTTGGAATTATTTTGATATGTCAGAAATGGGCAAACAATAGCAATGAAATTTTAGAAAGGTTAGTGAAAAGTAAAACAATTTCAAGAGTTGAATGTGTAAGTAGAACCTGAGAGATAGATGAAAGATTAGTCTGACAATTGTTGCTGACAAAGAAAATGGAGCTGAAATGATCCATTGATTGAATGAAGGAGATTGTGCGTGTGAGAGAGCAAATAGATATACTTTATAATCAGTAACTGAACTGCAAGGCAATCTAACCAGTCAGTCCTAGAGGAGATCAACCCTGACTGCTCTTTAGAAGGCCAGATCTTGAAGTTGAAACTCAAATACTTTGGCCACCTAATGAGAAGGAAGGATTCACTGGAGAAGAGCCTAATGCTGGGAAAGATTGAGGGCAATAGAAGAAGGGGGCGACAGAGAATGAGGTGGCTGGATGGAGTCACTGAAGCAGTAGGCGTGAGCTTAAATGGACTCCAGAAGATGGTAGAGGACAGGAAGGTCTAGAGGAATGTTATCCATGGGGTCGTAATGGGTCGGACATAACTTCGCAACTAACAACAAATAATTAGTAAAAGTTTGCTGTTATTTTAAATTCATTGGGTTTCCGTGTATTTTAAAGAACCATTTGTACCTCAGTGTTCAGTTGAAAGTGATTTGAATGTGGCAATTTTACAGGGCTGTGAGTGTGTAAATGAGTGACCCTAAACTAAACCTGAGAGCACTTATGTAACACTACCCTCATATCACAAACCTCTCCTTTTGCAGAACGATGTTGACAAAATGATATGGTGACATTAATAGAAGGTTCTTGTCACACAGTACTCAAAGCTTTCTCAGAAGCAAAGGAAATATAATTCTATGTTCCAGATAAATCTGGTATCCACAATTCCACACTTGAAATCTCATTTCATGAATGAGATTTGCAACTGCTATTACGTATGCCCTTAAAAGTGTGTGGTGGAAAAATCAATATTAAGCAGGAAAATAGAATGACAGGGAGATTGGACAACCACTTGCCTGAAATGGTATAGGGTTTCCTGCCTGAGTAGGGGTTTGGACTAGAAGACCTCAAAGGTCCCTTTCAACTTTACTTCTACTACTACTATTACTACTACTACTACTACTATCCCTCGTGGCTCTATTCTATGCCCAGTCGCAGACAAAGAATGATAATAAATCTCACTTTGGAAATAAGACTGGATTAATTTTATCCTTCTAGCTGGCCACAATATGCATCAAACAGGAATCCTTTTTTTTCACTGTTATAAAGATACAGAAACTGTTTTTGATTAATGGCTAAGGTTATGTAATCATTGCTGCTCTAAATAAGAAAAATAAAAATGAAGGCCTGAGCCTAATTTTGTATTTTGAAATCACAAATTAGGGTGAGCTCCAAACGGGACAGGAGAAAAGAAGATTTTCATAAACATTATCTTCTCTGATTCAGTAGCCACATTTATTCCTGCATGCACCAAAGATGTCAACATGTGAAAATACTGTGCCAAGAATATAGGATTTTGTCTCTGCAGTTAAGGAAACCCTTCTCTATTTTATATCACACAGCAGTAGTTCAGGGTTGCTAAGTAGCATCCTTATTGTTATTGCTATGACAACAAGGCTGACATATCCTAATAGTAGCCCGGCAAGGAAGCACAGGTACCTTGGCAACAGGAACACATTCCTTTGCCTCCCTTTTTCTCACTTTCCTCCTAGCCATCTCAATGAGGACAAAACACTATTTTCCTGACAGTCATGACGAGGAGTGCCAGCTAGGATCACACAGGAACAATGACAGCTTGAAAGTGGCCTGAAGGCCTCAGACAGGACAGGAGGATAACACAGGCCTCAGTAATGCTGGAAGATAAAGCACCGGAGGAATGAAAAAAAAGGAGATTGGGGGAAGAGGAGGGGAAAGGGGAAGAGAAAGTATGTGTTATATTTATTTCAGGTGTGGCCAGCTGAAATTATACAGAAGTTGGCCAGAATGGCATTAGGGCAGACTATGAGATCTACACTGATCTCTCTGCAGCAGCCCATGGCTGGGCCTCTCTCCCAAAATTGGTTTTCCTGCAACTGGCTCACTCTAATTATCAGGCTGGCCAGGAGATATTCTGGGGC